GGATTGCAGGCTACATCAGGGGAGATCCATTGGATTCCATGAGCCAAAGTGTTTAGTCTCACATAGTCGGTTATGATGCGAAAGCGATCCGAAGAAACTGTCGCTACTGATGCATAGCAAACATATTCGAACAATAATACAGCGTGATCACTGCGCCCCAACGGAGTTGCGATTGCAATTGATTCGACCATCAATTCTTCATTCTTGATAACGGCAAACGTGTCAGGCAGCTGCAGCTATTTTGGCGCTGGCACAGCTGCGATCGCCTCGATCGATTTCGAAATTGTCCGTGAGCGCACAGCTATGTAGGCCCAAGAAATCCTCTCCTGGTATACTACTTAAATCTACGATAGGACTAAGAACGATTATTTTTGATCCATTAACGGTAAAGGATCAATCGTTTAAATCCCTAATAATAAAAATAGTTTAATAAAAGAGGAATTATTTATTACACAAATAAATGTGAAACTATAAAAAGTATTTGTCATTTGCCATCGCTAAAATGTGTTTTCACAAATTCACAAATTATTTTCTTGGCATCGTGGCAATTGACTTCAAAGAAATCTCAATTTAAACATATTTTGTGCATATACATTATAACCTCCGGAACATAAAAGTTTAATAAAAATAGATTAATTCGCACCACAAAATTGAAATGTTATCAAATTGCAGCTGTATAATATGTGAGCATAAAATTATATCATATCACATGATCATATGATAAATCTTAATGGGATTCACGAGAATCTGGCATCGGTAAACTCACCCGTTACAGAGTCCACAGTAGATATACTGGTTAAACACTAAATAAAATATAAATGATTATTTATATATATTATAATTAATGTTTACTTCCCCAAGCAAATGTAATAAGTGAACATAGTATGGTGTCACTAATGAGCGAGTTCACTGATATCAAATACCCATAAATCCCATTTCCAATTTATCAAACGTCCAAATTTTTGAGTGAGAATTCTTCCGATTGTGGATCCAATACTTCCCCTCACATTTATTGCACCGGTGACTTCAAGATAATCAATCTAAATACCGAGATAAATGGTAATCAGTAAGCCATTGAAATTTAATGTAATGTCTTTTACACATCTTGAGCACACATCCGCGGATTTCAAATCCTCGGATTGTTTGTTGAAGTCATATTAGTTTTCCTCTGGCAGACGTATGCTCAAAGGACAGTATTTATCTGTTAAACGGGCATTCAGTTTAGCCCAATACCAAGACTAACGGATCCGGAGTAGTTCGTATGTAATAACGCTCCAGAATGGCAAGCGTGGGACAGAGAGTGTTCAAGGGCGGTAAGGGTAGAGGACGCGCAAATGAAAGGAACCAGGAACGCTTAGAGGCCGTATGAGAACAATAACAACAAAGTACAAAGTGTGTCGTCGGACCAAATCGGGGCATGATGATGGCAATGGTCAAAGGTCATCTGTGTAATGGATCACATGAGTGCACAGTTAATCGAACCGAACCGGAGCAAAATCTGTGGCGTGATTAATTTTTCCAATCAGGTCGACACATCCGGAGTTTGTGTTCGCTGAAGATGTCAAAATTTTAGGAATAAATCTAAACATAGATATAAAAGTAGTCCATTGATGAGCGGTTTATAAACCCCCCTTATCCAGGTGATTGTTTGCCCACATTCAGAGTATTGTGTGCAAGTGTAGGCACCGTATTACTGGAAGAATATGGCATGTTAAGAGAGAATGAGTGAGTGCAGCGTCTAGCTAGTGTAATAATAAGTGAGCGGAAGGGAAAAAGCTATGAGCAACAGTTAGGACATCTTGATCTCTTCTCGCTGGAACATGGAGGGGTGAGAAGAGATCAGATGCAGACTTCTAAAATTGTAAGAGGTCTATTGAGATTCAAAGTAGGTGACTTAATTACTATTTCTCATGTTCCAAAAGTTAAAGGTTATAGATTCAAACTTCAACAAAATCACGCTGAGTTGGCTGCCCTGGCCAAGTTCTCGTCACACAGGTTCATACCTATGTGGAACAGGTTACCTGCAGACGTGGTAAGCTCTACCATAGTCCACAAGTTCAAGGCGGCACTGGATGCATATTAATCAACAACGTTCCAAGAGGTTATCACTTAAAATTAGGAAACCGTTGGCGGAAATCACTGTAGTCTGAAGATATAAGGTGGATCAAACACAAGCTTTGTTTTTTGGAACGGTTCTCACAGTGAATGTCTTACGAAATTATGTGCACCTCAGCCCGGAACGGTGAAGAAAATTAAGGTTTGTCATCGGTTAGACGAGAAGATATGCTTCTTTTCTTCCTCTGGTTAAGCATATCCAACAAAGGTGTCGAGTTGCTGAACATTCGGTTAGATTGAGATAAGGGGGGAAGATCATTCATACGCATTGTTGGAAGCTACAACTTTTCGTCTTAGAACACAAACAGTTGGACGCTCGACTGGTAAAGTCCATATTCGTCCTGCGCGAAATAAACTGAACTTAAGTGAACTGAAAACAGCAAACAGAAGTATCATAAGATTTATACCCTTAGGCATCTCTATTTTTGTAATTATATGTACTCATCTATACGTCTCATTCGAGGCCCCGACGATATACCTTACCAAAACAAGTTTTGAGAAAAACGGTTCTCTCAGATCGTGACTACAGTGCTTTCATACATCTCAAAGCAGTTAATCTTGTACAAGATTATCTAATAAGTACATGTTTGAACTGAGGTTCCTGTTTAAAAGGGCGCATAGGAGGGCATCTTGCAGAACCCCGTACACGACAACGCGGGTTGTGAAAGCTGCGTTGCTCGTGCATGTATACATCTAGAGTTCAGCACTTGCATTCCGCTCTATTAGTAAGCTCATCATTTTCACCTTCTTTCTTTCTTTTTTCACCTCTTGATCAAGTTTAGACGTGGGACCTGAGATATAATACGTGCATTGGTCTACCTAAGCGAGTGTGAAGTACGTTGAATACGGTTAGTCGTAACAAAGCTCCCAAACTGATTGATCTGCCAGATTTCGTAGCTCACTTTTAACCAGGTAGCAACCAATTAAATCAGAAGACTTATTTGTTCAAGGGACTAGTATTTAAGAATCGTGGCATAACGGACGCACTGTTACCTTCTAACGTAAATTTGCACTAAGGTAATGAGGTGGAAAAAACCCGGAGAGCTCAAAAACATACAAAAGAAGAAGATGGTCATAATAAATGTGATAATGCATTAGTAATGGGGCAACAATGTGAACGCACGGACAGGCACAATTTCTAAATAAGCATATAACTGCCTCAAATCAATTCTCCACTCTGAGGATAGGACTGAGACTGAACCTCAGTTAAACCTTCAAAAGTATGAAATGGACTAACCGCACTATAGTTTACAGGAGATCGTCATCCAGCGTGATTTAATGGAATGTTTGGAGGGAAGCACTGCTTTCCACATTTTCTGTTTACGTTTCGGTTTCTCTATACACGACAAAGTTCATCATGTGAATAAAAAAATATCAAAAAGTGTACGGTGAAACATTAAAAAAAAATAATTTTGTTATTCCAGTTATCTTCCGTTTCCACCTGTTTAACTGTTTCACCCTCTTTCCACTTCGCTCTGTACCCCATCCCATCTATCGCCTAGTATTGTTATTGTTAATGTGGTTGTGGCGTTGGCATCAAGCTTGCCTACAAGCCGGTGTTAAATATAGATATGTATATATGTAAATAATTAAGAAACCCTAATATTCCCCCCCCCCCATATTGTGCAATATTGTGATATGAAATAGTGAAACGCTTGGACAGGCTACTTATAACTGAGAGGAACAAATCCGTTCTCCGTATAATTACAAGACGTAATGCTTTTCTTACACGATCCAAAGCCGCATGTGTAATTCCACAAACATCCTTAAGAGACCAAGTGTTAAAGATGCGTTTCCACCATCCGTGAATAGATTTTATACTGTTTCTGTTTCTGTGTGTATGCGGATTCAGAGCTGGTTATCCCACCTCATGCTGTTTTTATTTTGGAGTGATTCAGAGAATAGAGATAAGCACCACTATCAGTACTTCTTTCACTAACCCGCCAACCGCTGGGTTCAGAAAGAGGAGGAGAAGAAGGAGGAAATCCCAGCCGAACGCGTTAACCACCTTCACTAATTGATGTGACTCGACAAAGCGTCATGCAAACACTGCGTGAATTAATGCTCTGTGGTCTATGAGATTTGGATATATTTGACAACCAAGTGCAACAATCGGATCTGCAACGCATAATTTCTGAGTCACGTTTCATTACAACCGAGCAGAAAAGCTGAACCTACTGATCATGGATTTGTCTAAACAGTCCCACAGAGCCCAGTGCAAATAGGACAAGGAGTGGCGAACAAGCTCGTTTTCAGTGATTCGTAGTCATGCCAAATACATCACAATATTACCCTGCTTATATATATAAATCAGTATTCAACCATAAAACCGAAAACAAATGTTTCGGTAAAGGGAAAATAACCTCATGTGTTCATCTTGGGACCGGATATGGAATTCTCAAACTTTATAACATCCAAATTGTCTCCGTTATCTTAAGGAACAATTTTTTATTCGTGCATTTTGTTAGGATGGGAATTGAGGATATTTCATTGATCATCTGTCAAACTCCAAAAGGGAATAGTTAACCATGTTTTCCTTCGCGCGTTCAGATGCGTCAGAAGTGTTCAGTTCAGTACACCGGAATGGATTCTTTTGACTTTTCTAGTAGATCTACCTGGCCTCAGACGAAAAGATTTCGCGAGATCTCACCGGTAGGTTAAATGTGACCAATTCCATTCGGAATTCTTCATCCAGAATGATAATCCGGGACCGGGCCACTATCTTCTACCTCCATGTTTGGGTAACAAATCCACATTTGCTCGAAATGGAATCATTGGAAGCCCCGCAAAAGTGAGTTTCTGTAATCATGCTTTTGGTTCTGACTGGAAATCGTTGTCAAACAGTAGTGCGTTTGTGTGTGTGTGTTTGTGTGCAAACTGGGTCTGCGAGTGGCTCACACTGTGGTTTCTTGTATACCTATTTATCCACCAATCCAGCGTTCCTCATTGCCTTTACAATCTTTACGTAATGCTTATCGGTTTTGATGTACCGATTGGATGAGTTGGTCGAATAGAGAGCCTCGAGGATCATGCGTTCCACCTTACTCCTTGCCCTCGCCATGACTTTTAGGTCATTGATTCTGACCTCATGACCTTTCGTTGCTCAGGGGTGCCAAATGTGTGACCGCGCTTTAGTGCATCGAAGAGCCAGTGTGTGTTCGTGCAGATGAGTGCTCAATTGTTTGCCTGTCTCTCCTACAAAACTTGCGTCACAGTCTGCGTAAACCAACCGCGGTTGATCGTGTATTTCTTCGTTGTCCTTGCGGTTGAACAAAATAGAACATAGAGTTGTTTTAGGTTTGCAGGCTACAGTGATAACCAAAGAGCGAAGAATGTAATCGACGACTTCTGACACCCCCACGTATGCATGGTATTAGGAATTTTGTTTTCCCCTCCCCATCTTTTGGTTTTCTTTTTCCCCTAAGGCATGATCTGACGAAACGTTTGGGGTATCTGTTTGCATGGAATAGTTGAAGCAGATGGGTTTGTTCTTGATGCTAAAGATTTTCCGTACTGCAGTGTGTCGACCCGGTGAAATGAAGTGCGTACACCGCCTCTTCGGTGGCAGTGGACGACTTCGATTGTAGTTGAGCACCTGATCAGTCGTTTTCGATTTTCTGCACGCATTGGTGATCAATATGTACACCAGGTGATTCAGTAAGTCTGAAATACCGCCGAACAGAAGTTTAAATAGTGATTCATATGAAACTGTATCAGGTGGCAACGGGTGATCACAACTCACAGGTCCGATCAAACACCCTTCTGCATTGTTTGTATGTGTTTGTCAGCGAGAACGTTGGCCGCTTTGTGTTAACTTTTCACTACTAGTCAAAAACAAGTCTCAGTTGTCGGTCAGCGCAAGATGAACTGGACGGACGATTACAAACACATTTGGTCTGGCTGAATGCGTCAGATTTGAGTTTTCGGACAACGTTGAGACTTCAACCGTCTTATTCCGGACAAAGCAAAAGCAGACCGCTTGAAATGTGAATAAATGCACAGAGCGTTTTCTTCAGATCAGATTACTTCACAGTGGAACAAATGGTTTCAGGAAGAAGCCCTTGACTGCGAATTAGTTGAGAAATAATATCAGAATACACACACAACATTGTTTTCAGAACCGCATCGATTTAATCCATGCAGCAGGCCTTCTTCCACCCATACTTACTTTTCCATGTGGTAGAGATGAGGAAATGGAATTGATTGAATCAAATCGAATAGCTACCTTCCATAAAATTTATTATTCAACCCAAATTTTATTCAGAATATTCTCAGAAAGCTGAAACTCCACCCGGCATGGATTCAAAAAGCTTAGTTAGGCCTTACTGGAAAGCATACCTTACCAACAAAACCATCGTGCACTGAAGGTGTGATCTGGGTGGAGGGATTGCGGAAAAAGCTCAATTTCGGTGGGTACAACCCCCGAATTCTCGTTTCTTTGGGGATGCATAACAAGACATTGCAGAGTCCGCATTTCTTCGATGATACAATAATTGGACTAACTGTTTTCGAGCTGTTTTTTATCTTGGTCAACGAGTTTATTCAATCATTGTATTAAGGGGAAAAGCATAGGATCTATGTCTACCACGTCACGGCATATAGTAAAGAATGTGAAAGTAAACAGACGATTGTCTCGTTTTACTCCTGCAGCGAAGACCGTGACTCACCATCCAGCAGCTTATATCTTGGAGAGTACGACGTTGGAACGAATTCATCAGAAAGCATTCACGGATAATCACGCACCAAAAGGATGTAACTGATGTAGCCTATTTTTACAAGCGGCCTCAAAAGTAGTCAAAATACCCTTTGGTTATGTTATGCTTGATGCTCATGAAGACACACCTCTCTTTCTTTGCCCGCATTCATGTGTATGAGGTGCCACGTTACATTACGCAGCCATTCGCACAATATGATAACCGTCGACCGTGTCAAGGGAAGAATCGCAGTTCGAGTCCTGACAGGGACACAAAGTACGCACTGCTGACGAGTCCCAAACAGGATGAAACAGCTACCCAGTGCTCTTTGTTGGTTATCACAAACATTTCCACCGCATTTAGAATTGCGCAGTCTACTTTTTTGAACTCCATCGAACACAGTATAACAACCATGGGTTTGTGGTTGGTTTGCTGGTAGTACACTCACGGTGAGTTCCAGACAGCTTTAGAGGAGTTGCGTTTCTTCTGAACAAAATGACGATCAGTTCGATTGTAGGACCAGGAATGGATGTCAATCATTAAAAAACTCACAAGCTATATTGTTTCAAGCAATAATGCAATTCCGTTTCTTAATATCAATTTTGGTATCGCTTAAACAGATCTGCATAAAAGCATACCGCTAGTATTTGATTGGTTTCTGTGACACGTTTCTTTCCATCTTTCCGTCAGTTTGATTTGTCCCGTCATTCTAGTTTTAACTCGATCCCGAAGTCCCAAACTGGGGAGCCTGACGAGGACTAAAAGAAGTAAAGGCAAATGGAGGATCGACGTTGGGAAACTTTTGCGAAATTTTAAAACCGCTTTTACCAACTGGCTACTTATATGCTTCTCAGTAGTCTGATTTGGATAAGTTCTACTGTTGTTACCGCCTGGACCCAGATCACCGAACGCTTTCAAGGTCATCTGTATTCCCCACACATTTTTTCCTGCGTATCTCCGTCGTCATTTTAATTATAGAACACTGAATATTTAAGACACTTTTCAGGCTGCAAAATTAATCACAAATAACTTGACTCAACCTGAATGAAACTCGGAATATCACGTAAAACGCATCAAAGAGGTGTGAATTGTCCTCAACGCTACTCCATTGACTTCGTCATTTCTTGCACTCTGATTTAGTACAAACGTGACTAGATTTCAATAGTTCAACCATTCACGCTTCTTTTCCAACATTTTCTAGTTATCGGTCGCGGGTATCACTCACAGGTGCATCGTAACATGGTCCTCCATTGTTGTAAGGCTCCGCTCAGTAAACCGAAGGATGCTGCGTGGTTCGACGTTTTTGGCATCAAAGATGGAACAAATCTTGACCTATTGAGAATCCTGATATGATATTAGATGAGAATGAGAAACCTAAAGACCGTAGAGAACAACCATTTGATTTACCCGTCTCGGCACCATATTAAGAAAACGAGACGCGTAACCTAAACAATGCCTGATCTGTGTGGCTCTAAATAGGATAGCGGGGAAGATGATTCAGTGCATACCGAATCCTGATTAACCGGAACCGTCACAAGTCAACTATTAGATCTGGTCTGCAAAGAAGCTTAATCGTTTGGAATCAGCTGGTTTCTCCATAAACATGGGGTTGTTTTGAGTGAACTTTAGTCGAATCTGATCGTCCCTCTCCGCTGACTATCGATCGCGTAAGCTTTAGACCAGAATGAACGAATCGGGTTGGTTGTGCGCGAAATGGAGCAGTTATAAGATGGATCGATAAACTTTTCACCATGCTCAGATGCGAAGTTACGTATGAACCGTCGCATGCACGGTTTCGGTCTATGCCGTGAATGAGTTAGTCAAAAAGTTCCTCCGGGTCTGTGGCTGCCTCAAAGTTTGAGGCCCCTTTTGATCCTGATGCACGGAAATGCATCGGTAATGATTGTAAAAACTTAACTGAACTGAACTGATGGGGAGTTTTGAACACTGAAGTGTCAGTTATTAAGGAGCTCAGCATACAAAGTTCTGCAAAGAATAGTGATGCACGATTGAAGGAGAAAAAGAGTGGTCCCTTTCGTAGCATAAGACTGCTTCAATCACGATGACGTGTTCACAGTGAACAAGTTTTAATCTGCTTTCATGTTGGAGCACTCTGATTAAGAGTTAAATACCTCCAGCGGTTAGATTAGACACCAATTTTTCCTGCTTGTCCAACTGAATGCGCCGTGAAACACAAATACTGACATATCTACGTTTGCCCTGAAGTGAAAGCAAGGCCCTTTGAGATGCTTCAGTATCAGATTTATTAAGTGAGCGACGCTGCGGAAACTGATGAAGATCAGGATTCTTTAGCATCTAAAGATTTTATATGTCTTCGGTGTAACCCATGTGTGTGCCATACTGAGATCATCTTTCATCTCGTCACTGGTATGATAGATCTCGTTCTTCAGTTGCCAAAGCCGTTCTCAGTGGAGAGATACTGATAAAGTTCATTTGTTAATGTCTGGAATGGAATTGACTGACCGCACTCTGGGTCAGTTATTGTGATGCTTGTCAATGACGTTTACCAGAGAAGAAAGGATCTTGTAAACCCCGAAGCTGCAAGCGGTGGTTGGCTCTGACCAGACTATGCAATCCAACATAGCACAATGATTACGCAATGCGCCTTTTTCAGTAGCATCTCTATTTCAAAATGTGTCCGTCACGAACGCGCTCGACCAATCTAGGTCTGTCTAAACCGCAATCACTTGCAGAATGTTTGTGGTCATCTGACTGATTCGGTGAATTCAGACCGTCCATTTTCAAACGTGCATGTCCGAATCCACTGATCACAGCCGTCTTAGATTCAAGCGAAAATTATCAGTTCATTTCCCCTATCTAATCTTAAACCACCATCTACCCCGGAGCAATTTACGGTCCGACGCAGCTTATACCAGGAGAAATGAGCTACAAATCACAGCGATTTTATCAATCCGATAGAGTAATGCAAATAAAGACTCGAACAAATTCTCGATCAGTTGCTACCCAAAGGAATGGTAGTGAGTAAGTGATGCATTCATACACAGGCTCAGCCCAACACAGGAGAAAGTGAGAGGGAAAGTGTTAGGTAAAAAGACTATTTTTACCTAAAACTGACTATTTTTCGAGTGTCTGCAATTCGGAACATCTCAAATCAATACCAATCTCGCGGAGAATAATCAATCATATCGCGTCATACGGAGA